CATTGAATGGAACCTGCTGACATAATCAGCTGCAGGACAAACAGTATCTAGGATAGGAGGATCAACATGTATTCCCTGTGATGGAAGGTGTTTGGGGGGGCTTGGATGGCCATGCAGGAATTTTGGGTGAGGGACCTGGGAGTGAAAACTCTCAGCTGCAGGACTGACACAGCAGGAAGCTACCAGGTAAGAGGGATGGTGGCAGAGCCTTAAAATGGGAGGTAGAAGAGGTGCTGAATATATATATATATTTATATATATAAATATATATGTATGCATATATATATACATATATACATATATATATACACACGTATACTTGTAACTTCATATATATATATATATAATGCTATATATATTTATTATATTGCAAATTCTTTCACTTCAAAGTCAGTAGATTGGATCCACACAGGTAGGACAATGTGAGTGCCAGGACAGAAAAGGTACTGGAGGAGGGGGAGGAATCTGAACTCCAATTAAAAAGGTCAATAACACGACCTTCAACCCACTCCCCTGAGGGTAGGGGCGGGGAGAGAAATAATTGGGAATGAACAAACTCGGAGACCCTTTCTGCTCCTAGAAGGGAAGGGTCAGGTCTGCAGAGATCTCACGATGCCCTTCACTGAACTAGTTCAACATCTAAAGTCAGAACTTGTAGCTACTGCTCTTCTGATCTGACTGGAAGGCTTTAGAAACCCCTTCAAAACAGGGAGAGGAACAGGCCGACAAAAAGACACAGGCAGAAACGACCAGGAATTGCCAGTGACAAAGAGGGAAAGAGAAAAAGCAAAAACCTGAAGGGCAGAGGACAGAAAGGGGTAGGGTAGGAAGAAGAGACTGGATTCAACACACAACACGGAACCTGCTCCTTCTCCTGGTCGCTGGGCTGGTGAGGATGAACTGAAACTAGGAAGGACAAGAAGACTTTGAGCAGCCTGAGACACCAAGAGGCCACAGAATCACCTCAGAGGAATGCACAGCTCAGACATGATCTGCTTTGTTTTGGGATGTTCTTTATGGGTAAGTCACAGCTCACATTCCTCTTTGTGGGGTCTGGAGTTACCTTGGAAAGATGGAGGGCCATCAGCACAAAAATTTTCCCTGATGTTTGAAAGGACTGCATATATAAAAGGCATGGAAGATAATATTTGCTGCTATTCCAGGGAGGGTAACACAGAGCTCAGGGCACCTGAAAGAACGAGAAAGGTAAGAGTGCTGGAGGGACAGAGCAGAATTCATGTCAGTAAATTACATGAACCAGGGTATTTAAAGGTTCTTAATACTGGAGCACGGAGAAGGATCATGAGCTTGTGGTAGAGAAAGGGAAAGTTGTGGTGAGGATGAAGGTAAGAGAGGGTTTGTGCTGGGATCAGTACTAAACAGGATTTTACTGACTACAGGAAGTTCAGATATGAAACAATGCAGTTGGTACCACAGTAACTTCAGATCTGCAGCAGAATACAGGATGGAAACAATGGAAGAGGCATAGCAAGACATAGGAGATTCAGACTGGTAGTGGTCCAGGTAACAGAGATAAAAGTTGCAAATGCCAAAGATTTAATTCACTTAGCTGTGTCTTTTTTTGTTTTATCCTTTGTAGTTCCCCCAAGTAAGAGGTGAGGAAGGCTGCCTCAACGCTGAATTGTAAGTATTTGTCAAAATTGCTGGTTTTTTTGAGAAAACAAAGAAGGACAAAGGCAGTAGTGGACATCAGTGTTATGACTTGATGGTTGACATTTTCCAGAAAAAATTATTTAATTGTGAGTATTAAATACTCATGTAAAATTTCCATTGCTTTGAATGTGGTGTATTAATCACTATTTTTATTGATCAACATACTGATCATATGGTAACATTCCTGCTGCCTATTTGCACAACTGCAATAGTTAAGAGCTTTCTGGTGCAATTTCAACTGACTGAGATTATGAATTTGGAATTGAACTTTCCTTGAAAAAAAATGCTTTGAAGTATACTGCTTTGGGGAATATCACTATCAGGGATGTCCTTTGTAAGAATGACAGAATAATTATATACTGACAAAAAAGACAAAACAAATATGAATGCAGGTCTCTAAGGTTTGCAAATGGAATTGGGCAGGCATAAATATCAGGAGAGCAATAAAGAGACAAAGCCAAACAGAAGGGAAACCCACCTACAGGGAGATTGATGAGGTTGAACAACTGTATCCTCCCCAAAGCACAGTGAGTTTCTCATCACTGTGCCACCTGGGAGCTGGACAATAAGGGAGGAGCATGAGGGGAGATGGAAGAAGGTGCCACAGGGATCTTCCCATTTATTTGGTATTCTGTGGATAACTACCTTTTGTACCTTCTTCTCTTCAGCTGTGCAGGCACAGAGTGGGACCGTTTGTGGTATATCTGGTAAGATAACGTACTTTAAATATCTACACCTCTAGACAGTTCCAGTAGCAAAGAGTGGGATTAAATATGACCTCCTCAACTGTGATGCCACTCCCCACTTCCCCTTGGGATGCTCTAATACTCTACAGTAGCCAGGCAACCCCTTAGTTATCCCATCATCTTTAACAAATGTTGACTTACCATCCTCCTTTTTTATTCCACATATTAATTTAGGTGTATGAACACCATTAAAAAAGCATTCATGGCAAAATATGCCTTTTAAAAGACCCATTATTTAAGTCATTTCAGTCTAATTCCTTAGTAATTCTCACCGGGATGAGATTAAAAAGGACAGTAGTTGTTGAACATCTAGAAGGCTGCATTAATATATATAATATATAATATGTATTTATCATTAATAATTAATAACAATCTATTGGGTTTTTTGTATATATATATAATATTTTTTAAAGAGAAAGAGAGAGAGCATAGCCAGAAGATTGTGAGATCCAATTTTTCCTCCCTGCTTTTCACTCATGACCAGTCCAGTTTTGGTCCCCCAGTAAAAAAGAGATGCTGACAAACTGAAACAAGCCCACTGGAGAGCCAGTAATAAGGACCAGGTTTCTTCAGCCTGGAGGAGGCCAAAAGTGCAACCTAATTTTAGTTTTCCACTACCTAAGGGGGATCTTAAGACATAGAGACTTCCCGGAGGTGCTCACCAGAAGCACCTGCGGCGGCTGGCCAGGCTGCATACAGGAAAATTCTGATTAGACAGAAGGAAAAATGCTTCCCCTGAGGCTGGTGCAGCACTTGAACAGGTGCCTGGAGGGGATGAGGGATCTGCATCCCTGGGGAATGTCCAAACTCTGCTGGACAAGGCTGCAGATGTTTAGCTTTGAGGTCCAGCCACGCTTTCAGCGGTGGGAGACGTTAGGAGGTGTCCTCCAAACAAAACCTTTCTGTCCTAATTCTGTGTGCCCTCCCTTTGCAGGGTGGTGGTGGTGATTGGTGGGCTCCTGCTCCTGTGTGGCGTGGTGTCTGTCTGCGTGAGGTGCTGTTTTCAGTGCCATCAGACAGGGGACGAGTCGGGGCCGCAGCCCTACGAGGTCACCGTCATCGCCTTCGACCACGACAGCACCCTCCAGAGCACCATCACCTGTGAGTTGGCTTTGAGGGGTGCTGGGGACTTCAACACACCACAAGGGAGGGGCTGCACTCTGAAAAGCCCAGATTGTGACACTCCAAGGCTGACAGAGGGAAGTTCACAGCAGGATGGAGGGAAAGCAGCACCTGTACATCCCACAAATTGAGGTGCTCACTCCTCGTAGCAAATGCAGCCAGACGGAGAATCAGCCCTGAGACACGTTTGGGTGGAATTAGGGCAGCTTCAGGTCTCAGTGGCATTTCAAGAGAGAGTAACTGTGGGATGTTATTGATGGGGTTTCACACACACTCCTTTTAGGGAAGGCTGAAGGGGCAGGAAAACACTCAGGCTGTAAGGGGAGAAAAGCCTGTGCCCTGCAGATGCACTCCCCAATCACATGATGCTTTCAGGATGAGGCAAACAGCTTTTGTCTCCTCCCTTCCAGCTCTCCACTCGGTGTTTGGGCCTGCTGCCAGGAGGATATTAGCAGTGGCACACTCCCACAGTGCTGCCCAGGGAACACCACCCCTGTCGGGGTCGGACACTCCCCCGCTGTACGAGGAAGCCCTGCACATGAGCAGATTCACCGTGGCCAGGGCGGGCCAGAAAGTGCCAGACCTGGATCCCGTGCCAGAGGAAAAGCTGCAGATACCTGCTGAGGGCAAGGATGCCCGGCCAGCCCTCCCAGGACAATAGTGTCTGGGTTTAACTCATGGCAAATAATATGGAACAGTTACATGCAGAGACTAATTCATCTGGGCAGGGTTAGGAATCTCAGATTAACTTCCTTAGTCTAACAAGAGGGGGGGGGGAACTAAAATTCAAAATATTTTCAGAGCTGTGGTAGTTTGATGCCTCTTTCTGTCACCTCTGTGAGATGGTTGGCCACTGGCATTCTCCAAGTCCATTTATTAACACACAACACCAGCAGCAGAGCTGGCACAAATAAGCAGGCAGCAGGATCAAGGTGCTGAGCCATTTTGCAGGCCAGTGACCTGCAGGGTGATGGCAGGGGCGTCTCATTCCTCCTGCCTCCAGCCTGAGTTTCCTCAGGATGGCAGAGAGGATTTCAAAACAGACGAAACTGAAACCAAACCAAACCAAACAAACAAAAACCACACCAAAGCAAAAAAAGACACGTGAGAAGGTCTATTAAGACCCAAAAATAACACCAAACTTCTGGAAAGTGCCAAACATTTATAGTCATTTTTAAAACAAACAAACAATCTGCATGTAAACAAAAGACAGCATATATACAGACAGTCTGTGCAGTATGTGCCCTAAATGTCCTCCAGGATACACAGAATGAAGACAGCCTAGTTCTGAATAGGATATATAGCAATTCTGAAATAGTAGCCTGTTATATCTGAATTAAAAAATATTATATAGGTGCCAACAGATCAAAGAAGGGGAGGAGCAGGAACACTGCCCCTGCAATAAAGCTCAATCATCTTTTAATTGCATTCATATTGTATCATTTATTAATTCCCACTGTTGCTGTCAAAACCAGACCAATTTAAGTAAGACCATTTGAAGCCTTTAAGCCATTTCCCATATAGAATAATTTGTGAGTCTCTCCTGATCGATGCAAATATGCTGAACCATCCAGAAACATTGATCAAACTGGATGAACATGGGTATGGACCACCTGTAAAATGTTTTCTTGGGTTAGGCAGTCAGGAGAAGGTGAGTGTTGAATTACATCAGTGTTGTCTCTGCCCCAGGTTCTGCACTTGAAAACATTAAAGCAGAGGGAGATCAAATATCAAATGATAAGCAGCCATGAATTTATTGATGTATATGTTAATGTTGATATGAATGCCCAGGACACAGATATCACATCTTTCTGAAACACCTGCATGGCCCTTCTTACTGAAGTACCCAAATGCTCACTGTCCCTAATATGCTGGTCTTCTTTCCTGTGAAATACAGAAAATATGGTTATTTTGCAAATAAGGAGAACAAGGACAACAAGGACAGGGTCCCACATGTTTTTAGGGACTTAACTGCTGTTAAGATCAACCATAGAAAATTTTAGAGAAGGTTGCTAAGATCACTTCAGGGATAGAATAAAGCTGAACTGAACAACCCAAACATCTTTGATGATGTCCCAGACCTTGCCCAGTCACAGGAATTTTGTGTCTGAGGGTCTTGATCTCTGAGGTTATAAACTTCTTCCTGAATTGTCTGGTCATTGCCCAACTGTATCATCAGTGAGTGATAAAGTGGAATGGAAAAAATAAAGAAGTGATATATAAGTTTATGTCCCTTCTGCTGTACAGCATGCTTGAATCATAGAATCATAGAATGGTTTGGGTTAGAGGGGACCTTAAATATTGAGTTCCAACCCTCTGCCATGCGCAGGGACACCTTCCACTAGATCTGGTTGCTCAGAGCCCCGTCCAACCTGGCCTTGAAATAATAATAGCAACTGTTTGTGGAACATCTTGTCGAGTGACCCACTTTATCAGCTGCTCTCTGAAGTCCTGTTCAGCCATGACGTGTCCCCCAGGCTGCAGAACATTTCCTGGAAGGCTCTTGTTTACTCCCCGGGGAAATCCTGAAGCAAGCAGAGACATTTGAGTCTGCTGAACGTGCGTCAAGTACAACCGAGCCCAGAAGACTTCCTGGAAGTCTTCACAGTCGTTTCCAGGGGGAACGGACTGTTCCTACTCCACCTCCTGCCTGCGAAGCCCCAGCTGTGCAGGCATTTAACACACGGTGGCAGCCCCGCTCCACAGGGCAGCAATCCTGCCTGGCAACACAGAAATGCTCCATTTTCAGCAATTTACCATAATAATTACACAGCAATTTTTTCCCTAATACGTGCAATGATAAGGGACGTTTTTAAATTATTAGTTTTCCTCTCCTCTACTATCTTAAATATTTTAACTTCTATGAGATTTTTTTCTTCTGTGAATTTTTCTGATTGTCTTTAAATCACAGAATATTCTGAGTTGGAAGGGACCCACATGGATCATTGAGTCCAGCTCTTAAGTGAATGGTCCATGTGGAGATCAAATGTGATTTTGGTGGTTTTAGCATTGTGTTCTAACAAATTGAGCTCCCTCCTTCTTCAGTTTCGGGGGAAAAGTTACAGGTCAGTTGTACCCAGACCTGATTTCAGCTGTTTTACCTGCTGATTTCCATGTCTAACTCTCCAGTCCCTTCCCATCTGCTCATATCCTTCTTTGCTTGTCTCTCTCGTGGTTTTCAGGTGCTATGCTGGTACCTTGAAGGGGTTTTTTACTGGCAAGACATCTGAAGTATTTGAAGTGACAATAATGATAGATATAACTTCACTTGCTCATGGGTTGTTTCCTACTAAACTGACTTCAGGCGAGCCCATAAGACCCAATAAAACACCAGATTACAACAAACAAACAAAAAGCAGAAGCAGACTACTTTATTTAAACATAGAAGGTTGTGTAAGAAAGCAAAGACCAGGCACAAGTGACTGGAGACACTTCGCTCTTGTTGGCAGATCTGTTGCAATTCAAAGTTCTCTCCTCTGAAATAATCCAAAAACGAGGACAGAGTCAAAAAAGATCACGTGTTTTGTGAAAAGGCAGGATTTTGCTGTCATTTGCTGCTTTTCATCATGCCACAAGGTATGTTCCTTAATCTCCTCGTGACACCTCGGCTTTGTATGAGTTTAAGCCACTTGAGCTGAGGCTGGGCTATACAACAAGTTTGGGAGGAACGAGTGGCTTTTTTTGTGAAAAATAAGAAACTGTAGAAAAATAGAGCAGTGAGGCAGCATAGACAACACAGAGTCCTTTTCTGGAGGAAAGGAAAACATACACACAATTAGACATTGTTTGGTGGCAGTGACTAATCCTGTGCCCTCATCCAAGACCAATGTGCCCCGACTGGCTCTGAAGTCACCAGACCAGTCGTGAGGGGTAAGGGAGAGACGCCAGGCAGGGATGGACAGGCAGAACAGATTCACAAGTGCTTCCAGGTACACCATGTGTAGTTTAATCCCCATTTGGAGTACAAAGTAGAAGTGTCCTGACAAAGAGAGGCTTTGATATGCTGAATCCACAACAAAGGCTTAAAAAAAGATAAAGCCAGCCTGTGGAGGCACAAATGGAGTAAGGTATCCCACGGGAGGTACTAATGAAAGAAATATCCAGGGGAGTCCAGACCTACAATTAGCTGAACAGCATTGTTGAGCAGGAGCGCTGTGTGGTACAGCACAGGCTGCAAACCCTGCCCCCAGGTTCTGTGCAAATATTTTTATCTCCTGCTTCTATGGCTACAGCACTGGCAGCGCTTGGGAAATCCCTGTCAGAATGTCCCTCTGCGTGAGCTGCAGACACAGCAGTACAGTACGTGCTCAGAGCGGGTCTGACGCTCTGGGTTAAGAAAAACTACATTGTTTTGATAGCCTGTGGGTTGTGCCAACCCCATTTCCAGTTCCTCCCTCTAGCACACGGATCCATAACATGGGGTTTGTCACATGCCCAGGGGATGACACTCTAATAACTCCAAGTCAGATGTTTAGCTGTTTGTCACTGCTCCTGCGTGTCATCTTCCTGCCTGCTGTTTTTCCAGTGATGCTGTTGTTATTATTGAAGCTGGAGGAGAGATCTGGGAACTTGACGCCTGCTGAAGTGGGGAAGCAGGAGGGGCAAGTCCGGTGGCTGCACATCCAGAGCTGCATCATCAGGGCAGGAAGACAACAGCAAGATTTGTGAATCTCACCTCACGTGGGATTTGTTGGGAGAAGTCACCTAGCAAACCACTCACAGGCCATGTCTTTCCATCAGGACAGGGAGGAACTCTGAAGCTTCTCCCTGGTTTGTCATCAACAATTCAAACCAAACAAGGCTCAGCTGCCTTGTGTGCAGTCCTAGGGATGGAAACAACCATGTACGGCACAAAGGGAGTTCGAGGTCAGTCTGTTAAAATTGCAGGGACATGTTGGTGGCCTGGGTGAAACAGGCCAGAAAAGTTCCTCTCTTTTGCCCTTGAGGACAAACCTACATCACCACAGACCTCCAAAACACTTTGCTGTGCTGCCAGCAGTTAGGAAGCAAGGAGGTCAAACACAGGAATCATGGAAAGGTGCAATGCCACAGAACCAGAATTTTCCACTGGTCAGAACCCTGGAATTCCTTCCTTCTTAGGCTATTCCTGTTGGACTGCACAAAAACAGCCCCTTCTGATGGATCCTCTGACACCACCTGGCAACTGTGGGGAAATGGCCACGTGTCCTGGGACAGACAGACATGGGCAGTGGGGACATCTCCCAGTGATGTCACAGCGGCAAAGGGGCACCTCCTAGTGACGTCACAGCGCTCAGCAGTGCAGCAGGGCACCTCCCCATGATGTCACAGCGGCAAAGGGGCACCTCCTAGTGACGTCACAGCGCTCAGCGGTGCAGCAGGACACCTCACTGTGATGTCACAGCGGCAAAGGGGGGCCTCCCCCTGATGTCACAGGCGCAGTGGGGCACATCCCCGTGACGTCACAGTGGCAAAGGAGACCTCCTTGAGACATCACAGAGGCAAAAGGGGCACCTCCTTGTGATGTCACACTGGCAGAGGGGGACCTCTGTGTGATGTCACAGTGGCAAAGGGGGACCTCCCTGCAGGCCACCTCCCCATGACGTCACAGAGGCAAAGGGGGACCTCCTTGCGACATCACATCGGCAGAGGGACATCGTCACAGCAGCAAAGAGGGACTTCTCTGTGACGTCACAGCAGAAGAGGGGCATCTCCCCATGACGTCACAGCAGCAAAGGGGGACCTCCCGTCACAGAGCTCTGTGGGGCACCTCCCTCGTGACGTCACAGCGCCCGGCGGGGCACCTCCCCGTGACGTCACAGCTCTCGGCGGCACAGCCCGGCCGCAGCGGGGGCTCCTCCCCCGTGACGTCACTGTGAGGGGCGGTGTCGCCGTGACGTCACCGTGCGGGGCGGGGCGGGCCGCGGGCAGGGCCGGAGCCGGCGCAGCGCTCGGAGCGGAGGCAGAGCCCAGCCCAGCCCGGCACCATGAAGTTCCAGTACAAGGAGGATCACCCGTTCGAGTACCGGAAAAAGGAGGGCGAGAAGATCCGCAAGAAGTACCCGGACAGAGTGCCCGTGAGTGCGCGCCGGGCCCGCCTTTGTCCTCGCTGCCGGCCCGCCCGGAGCGCTGTGTAACGCGGCGGGAGGCGCTCGGTGCTGCCGATGGCCGGACCCGCGTCCCGGCCGCCCCTCCCTGCGGGGTGGCCTCCTCCGCGCTGGGGGGTGTGGGGGTAATGCACCTTTTTGGGGGGGGCCGCAATGACTCGGCGGGGAAGACGCTGCCCGTCTTTTCCTGCGTGGTGTTGATGAGCGGGGAAGGAGCTTATCCTGGTCTGTGAAAATGGAGGAGAACAATGAGTGGGTTAATCCATCGTAGGGAACATCATCTGTGTCCGTGTCATCTCGTATTGCCCTGTATTTTTATTTTACTGCCTCCTGGCTTGTCTTTTCAATATATTCTTGCTTTGTTCTTTTCCTTTGCGTTGAGCAAAAAAATTATACTTCTCAATCTTTTTGCGCCCCAGTGGACAAAATGTCCCTCAGAATGCAAGGTCATCCAGCCAAACTTTGCTTCCTCATTCCCCATTGCCGTGCCTGTGGAAAACTTCTGCCTTTATAATTATTAACAATAATTGAGGGAGAAAAAAAAAAAGAAATGACAAATCTAATTAGTCGTGTTTGGGTTGGTTTGTTCTTTTTTTTTCCTTTTTAATAAACCTATTGCAAATGTCTTTTCTTTTCCATCCCCACTGGAGAAGTCTGCCCTAGATTTACTGCATGCCAAAAATACTTAGACACCCCTGTAAAACTAAGGACAAGGGGGAACAGCTACTAAACCCCCATGTTTTCCCTACAGGCTAACAGCATATTTTTTATCTTGGAAGTGACCCTCAACTGGACTTGAAACAAGTGTTTGGAAGTCAGTATTTGGGTGCATTTGGTTATGGGATGCCTGCCATGGCACAGCAGGTTGAGTAAATCAGTAGTGAAATGTGTGTGGTTTGGTGTCTCATGGTGAGGACCTGCGAGGTCTGAAGTGAGACAGGCTGTAAATCGAGGATTAACATGGCAGGTTGTGCAGCAGGCCATGATAAGCGTCTCTGGAAGAGCCCAGGACCAGGCCTGGTCTGGCAAGAGGTAAAGGAGGTCAAGACAGGGGGGCATCATCAGACCTTTATTAAGAAAACCAGGACCAAAATAACAAGGTGTGCTGTAGTTAAGGTTAGATGGAAATGCTGCATGGCAAGGCCCAGGGGGGAATTATTAAGGGTAGCCTGTAGTCAGAGCTGCATAGGAAGCAAATGGATGCAGCAGCCTGTTCTGCCCTTCCTGACAGCAGGATCCTTGTGGATGTCACTGCTTTGGCTGCCCACACTGCAGTGCCCTGATACATCTCAGCACTGTGCTGAGATTTTACTGTTGGCACGGCCCTGCATTACCACAGTCACCACTCAGCAGCAGAGGCACAGATAATCTATATCTGCCCTCTGGATTATCTTTGTAGGGGTTTTTTTGTGTGTATGTGGAGGGTTTAGTGCTTCAGAAGAGATAACCTGCGTTATCAGGCACGCTGGCTACAGTTGCCAGATTAGCAGGGCACCTCCACTCCTTCCCTGCCTCTTTGCAGGAGGGAGATCTCTCTTAAGCTCGGTGGTGATCTGAGTTAAATCTTCCCTAAATCTTCCATAGGGGCTTAGAAACCCCAGCAACACTCTCACCTCTTCCTCATAGGCATGACTTGTTCTCCTTTATCATCTGGTGACCAAGCCACCCTGAGTCAGGGCGGTTCTGCTTGCCAGTCATTTTTTTAATTGGGGGCAAGTGCTAAAAGTTTCTCTCCACTGCAGTTTATTGTGTTAGATACTACCTGGTTGGATGTGCTGGTAAAAAAAAAAATGTGCAAAGTCCTCCTGTTGAGTGAGATTGTGGAACTGTCATTCCTTCGAGGCATTTACCAACTGCATCTTGCACAGAAACGCACGTCCTGTACCACAAACTGCCTGAAAGAGCTTGAATACCTTGTTCTAATTTAGGTACTTGAAATCCTTGAAGTAGCAGAGACAACTGTGTTTCTATTTTAAAATCAAACTTGGAAATTTCAGGGGATTTGGCTGTGTTGGCCACACTCAAATGGAGCACAGGCAAGAGATGTCCAGGCTGGGATCTGTGGGAGCACGGAACCCTTAGGAATTAGTCCCACGGTGTCTCAGTTGGAGTATTTACAATTACAGGGTCTAACAGAATTAAAAAGTTGAGGAAGTTCGTAAAATCCAGCTTTAAGATTTAGTTTGCATGGTCAAAATGGCCCCTGCAGAACAGCAAGCCACACAGATGGAATCATGAACTCTGACCAGTTTAAAAATACATATCACAACAACAACAAAAAAATGAAACCTGCAATTTTTTTCTGCACAAGCCCAGTAGTCCCAGAGGTTCCAGTGGAAGGAGGTCAGGTCACTTTGGAATACTTCTTGCTTCTGAGGTAAATATTTGCCTAGCTCTGCTAACAAAAATTAACTTGCAGTAGAAGGTCTCTTGTTCTGTTTGACCTTAAGGCTGTTGAGCTTCATATTTTCCTATATTATGACATCAGAGTATAATGAAGATTAGTGGTTTGTGTCAGAGGTCTCTGTGGGTCCAGTTGCCCAGATGGTAGGCTGGGTTTAATTATTAGATATTTATATAAATAAGGAAATGTCCATAGCTGTATGAGGTGTGGATAATATCCGTATTATTATCCACTATAATATCCATTTACAGGATATGAATATCAGAGCAGAAGATACCTAATGAGGAACTGGAGATTTTTAAAATAAATTCCCCAATGAGCTGTAGTTTGTCTTTAATTCTTCATTCTAGAGCCCTTGGTATTGGTGAAAGTAGAAATTAGGATGTGGGACTACTGGGAGTAGGGCTGATTTTGTGCAAGGCAGTTTGGAACTGTAACCTGGAAAGTTTAAGTTACTTGTGATACTTCTTGTGTTCGTGTATTGGCCTCCTGACAGCTGCTTCATACAAAATTAACCTGAATTGGGAACATCAAGGTGTCCTGATTTTTTTTTTTTTCTCAGCCATTATGGTTTATTTTTATGTCTGTGCTGGACTCCTTTTTTCACTCACTGTGCTTACTGCTGCAGTCCTGGGCTCCCAGGACAGCTACTGTTAGTGATTTTATGTCATCTTCTCACCTGTCTGTTCCTTAATGCTGTGTATTTGTTATGGATTAAATAAATAGCTAAAGGCCTGGTAGCACCATCAAAGGATAATATCCACTGATGCTTTTTGGACCATTTTGTTTTATGATATTCATGTTTGTTTTCTTGCTTTCTCTCACTCTCTCTCTCTCTTCCTCCAGGTAATTGTGGAAAAAGCACCAAAAGCCAGAGTACCTGACCTGGACAAAAGGAAGTATCTCGTGCCTTCTGACCTCACAGGTAACAATGTTCACCTCCTTTCTTCCTGATTTTCAGCGAGAAAGCCTCAGAAGTGCTTTTTACTCTATGATCAGCACAAAGAAAACATCCAGACAGGCTCAGCATCTCATCACTACCCCATTTCACCTGCTGTCCTTGTTGGATTTATGTACCTTCCAGCTGGATTGCAAGATGGAGAATTCCATGAGGTGTCCCACTGCCTTGGCTGCCATGGCCATGTCACAGCTGAGTTCTGACCATGGCTGAAATGTGTATCATGGGCAGCAGCATAATCATCAGCCAGTGATGACCAGAGTTGCCAGAGGCTGTA